GATGGTTGGGGAAAAATGCAAGGGACGTCGGCAGGCAAGAGGAAACGTAGGACGGGAGATAGAAGATGGGGCAGGGACGATGAACAGTAGCAAGAGGATTCCCATGCTGTGGATTCAGATGATGAGGATGACGACGATGATGCTGCTGCTGCTGCTGCTGCTGATGATGATGATGATGATGATGATGATGATCATGACAACGACGATGGTGGTGCTGATGATAGGGCAGGTGATGATGTTGATTTTGATGTTGATGATGAGTCAGTTGGTGACTGTGGTGTTGTTGTTGATAATGATGATCATGATGATGATGAGGATGATGCTGATGATACTTCTGCTGATTATGATGCTTATGGTGATGGTGATGATGGTGATGGTGATGGTGATGGTGATGTCGCTGCTGCTGACGATGAGGATGACGATGATGAAGGTGGCGCTGGTGGTGGTGATGATAAGGCTGCTGCTGCTTCTGATCATGATGATGTTGCTGCTGCTGCTGCTGCTGATGATGATGATGATGATAAGGATGATGCTGCTGCTGATGATGATGATGATGAGGAGGAGGATGCTGTTGCTGATGATGATGCTGACGATGATGATGCTGATGATGCTCATGATGCTGATGATGATGCTGACGATGATGATGCTGTTGCGATGATGGGGACGATGATGATAGTGCTGATGATGATGCTGCTGGTGATGATGTGGAGGAAAAATATATGAGAGGATGAGGAGGGGAAGAAGGAGCATAAGAAGGAGGATTCTGATAAGGACGATGAGGTGAGGGGCATAAGATGCAGAAGGATGATGATGACGATTGGGGTAAGCAAGCACCACCAGGAGGCTTAGGAGGAGGAGGAGGCGGAGGATGAGGAAGTTTTGGAGGAGAGGGATGATGATGAGGATGATGATGATGATGATGATGATGATGATGATGACGATGACGATGATGAGGAGGAGGATTATGACGGCGGCGACGATGATGATGATGATGATGATGATGATGATGATGATGATGATGATGATGGTGTTGATGATAATGACGATGACCATGACGATGATGATGAGGATGTTCATGATGATAATGATGATAAGGGTTATGATGATAACGATTATGATGATGATGATGGTGATGCTGATGCTGCTGATGCTGATGCTGGTGATGCTGATACTGCTGCTGATGCTGGTGATGATGATGATTATGATGATGCTGATGATGGTGGTGGTGATGACGACGATGATGATGATGGTGATGATACTGATGAAGATGCTGCTGGTGATGATGATGATGATGCTGCTGATGCTGATGATTATGATGGTGGTGGTGGTGGTGGTGCTGATGATGATGATGATGATGATGATGATGATGATGATGATGATGATGATGATGATGATGATGATGATGATGATGCTGATGATGATGATGATGATGATGATGATGATGATGATGATGATGATGATGATGATGATGATGATGATGATGATGATGATGTGATGCTGCTGCTGATCATGATGGTGGTGGTGATGACGATGTTGAGGAGGAGGAGGAGGAGGTGGAGGAGGAGGAGGAGGAGGATTAGGAGCAGGAGGGAGAGGATGATAAGGAGGAGCAGGAGAGGAAGAACAGGAGCAGGAGCAGGAGCAGGAACAGGAGCAGAAACAGGAACGTGAGCAGGATCAGCAGGGCACTCCCCGGACATGTCGCCGAGCTGTGGGCGCTGAGCGGCTTGGGGGCCCTTGGCAGTGCAGGGGCCCGTCGGCCGTCGATGGGAAACGCAGTCTGGGGCTGCTGCAGGCCTGCATCCGCGGAGAAAGTCCGTCCTGCTGTCGCGGCCTGCCGCCACCGCCCGCTGCCCGCCGCCCCCCGCCGCCCGCCGCCGCCCGGTGCCCGCCGCCCACCCGCCCGCCTGCCGCCCGTCCCGCCTGTCCTGCTCGCTGCTCGCTCCTCTGCTGGCTGGCCGCCTGCCTCCCCCCGCCTGCCGCCCGCCTGCCGCCCGACTGCCGGCCGACCGCCGGCCGCCGGCCGCTGCCTCGCGGGCCGAGCCATTGAGCGCCGCGCGCCCGCGCGTCCAACCGCGGGCGCCGCGGGCGCCGCGGCCCTGGCGGCGGCTGCGAACGGCGCCGGCCGCGCCACTCGGCCTGCCTGGACCTCGCCCCGGCCTTCGGCCGTCGTCGCCGCCGCCGTCGCCAGCGTTCTACTGCACGTGCGGGTGACCCTTCGCTGGAGTGACCTTGGCCAACCGCGGGCTGAGGTTTTGCACCCTCGCGCCCCCTTGAGCCGAGCACCAAAGGTCACTCTTGCCTAGGATCACTTTTGCGCGTAGCTGGGTCGTCGTTGTCGTCGTCGTGGTCGTGCTCGTGGTGGTGGTGGTGGTGGTGGTGGTCGTCGTCGTCGTCGGGCCCGTGGCATTCTTGCTGGGTTGGCGGCCAGCCGTGATTGCTGTTTTGACCTCTGCTCTGTGCTCAGCCTGCTTCTGGTCGATCCGCCGACTGGAGTAGGGTCTAGTAGGGTCGCTATCTTTGCCCGAGTCCAAATCGAGAAGGTCATCGTCATCGTCGTCGTCGTCGCCATCGTCGTTCGCACCCTCCTGGTTGTCCTCGTCGTCGTCGTCGTTGTCGTCATCGTCGTCCTCGCCCTTTGTTAGGGTTCGGGCCCCATGCGGCCGTATTCATTTTGGCCCGACTCTTGTTGCGCCAGTTCGTTCGAGCCCACCGCCACCGCGCCAGTTTTTTTCGTGATGGGGACGTTTACCTGCTCGACCGTGATGGCGACGGTGCTTTTCCTTAGCCTTTCAGGGTCTGCTGCCGCTGAAATGCAAGATCCGATGTCCCAGTTTGACAGCCTGCTTGATGGGATCAAGGACATGGGACGGGGCGTCTATTACGAGTTTGACACCGCGTCTAGTGAGGTGGTGCGCACAGGGCAAGTCCAGACAGTGGGGCATGGATGGGTAGACTCAAACACTCCTTTATCACTCGCGTCCGGCTCGAAGCTATTCACCGCCTTCGGCGCGATGGTTACGATGCAGTTGAAGCCCGCTGATTTTTACCCAGAAAAGTACGTTCATGAGTTCGCGGACTGGCGCGGGTTCTGCAATTTCCCTGTCATGGGCGCAGCGAAGCGGGCGAACCTGACCCTGCACCATCTGCTCACCCACACGAGTGGGCTGCCTTTTTGCCTGAGCTGCTCGAGGCAGGACATAGAAAATATGGAGCTATCGGAGACGCTTACGTCGAACCATTTCCCCCTCTGCTTTTTGGAAACATCCATGTGTCAGACGTTGGACTCAAGTCTTGCCAAGATGTTCGACTATGTGCTCACACAGCCTGGCAGCCACTGTGGAAACCCTTTTGGGAACACTTTGGGGAGGAAGAGGAGGATGAGGAGGAGGATTAGGAGGAGGAGGAGAAGGAGGAGGAGGAGGAGGAGGGGGAGAAGGAGGAGAAGGAGAAGGAGAAGGGAGGAGGAGAGGAGGACGAGGATGATGCTGATGCTGATGCTGATGCTGATGCTGATGCTGATGCTGATGATGATGATGATGATGATGATGATGATGATGATGATGATGATGATGATGATGATGATGATGATGATGATGATGATGATGCTGATGCTGATGCTGATGCTGATGCTGATGCTGATGCTGATGCTGATGCTGATGCTGATGCTGCTGATGATGATGATGATGAGGAGGAGGAGGAGTGCGCACTGTGGGTACGCCGAGGATTTGCCAAGTTGCCGCCTGTTGCCGCCGGCGGGGGTATGCCGAGGACTCGCCACGCTGCCGCCTGTTGCCGCGGGTCGTCGTCGCGCGGGGGGGGGTTGGTATGCCGAAGATTCGCCACTGCCGCCCGCGCCGCCTCGTGGGAGCATCGTGGGCGCACCGCGCTGGGTGGGTATGCCGAGGATTCGCCGCGTTGCCGCCCGTGCTGCGTCGCGGGCGCTGCTTGGGTGCCCCGTGCTCTGAGCTTACACGATATCACTTCAACGGCATGGCATACACCGCCTCGCTTGCACCACATAATCTTACACCGCATCCATTGCACACCGTCGCTCGCATCATGTAGCTTGCATCCCTTTGCTTGAACCTGCAGTTCACACCGCCTAACCTACACGACATACTGTACACCACGTAGCTTGCACCGCATAATTCCCAGCTCTACAGCTCACACCACATAGCTGACACCACATAGCTTACACTGCATACCTTGCACCTTCACGATGCAAGACCGCACCTTTTTGGGTCCACGCTGGCTAACATCTTTTAACGACCTTTGGAACGTCGATGATTGTGGCATTTTCTGTGCTTTCCTGGAGGGCCCCTCGTAGCGCTCGTGGAGTGTCTTGGAGGCATCTTGGGCCGCCTTGAGGCAGTCTGAGGCCGTCTTGAGATCATCTTGGGCCGCCTTGGACGGGCCGTCTTGGGGCCCTCTTGGGGGCCTGCCTCTTGGGCCGTCGTGGAAGCTCGTAAGACCGACGCACAGATCATTATCCCCCGAGGCTCATGGCAACAGTAGGTTCTAACAGCTCCAGGGCTGGCACCCCCAGGGCCTCCAAGACGGCCCAAGAGGCGCCAAAAAAGGTCTCCAGGACGGGCGTTGGGACCATCTCATGCCATGCCTTGAAGTGTGGAATCCCGGCCACGCTCCCAGGGCCTTTGAAACAGTCACGCTCATACCAAGAGCCCACAGGCGCGCCCGAGAGCGCCCTGAACTCGGGGTTTGGGGCCCCTGAGCGAGTGTCCACAATACTTGACGCAGAGAGCCCGAAGGGACCCGAGGACACTCCACTTCGTGCCTCGAGGCAGGGTGGCGGATATTTCTGGCCTGGCGAGCATTTTGGCTATACCATAGGGCACAGGGTGATAGGATGGCTCCTGCATGACTTCTGGAAGCGGCAGCCAGAGGGCAAGGCCGCCGGTCTCAAGACCGTCCACGACACCTTCCAGTGGCTCATATTCGACAGGCTGCGGCTCTCGACACAGACTGGATTCGTCGACATGTTTGAAGATAGCGGTTTCTCCAAGGACGCTGGCGACGCGGCCATACGGACCATTGGCGAGGATTTCATGCGCCTGGCCGTTGTGGCCCTCCGCAGGGGGCGGCTGCCGAGCGGGGAGCGCCTCATTTCGCGGGAGAACTGGAACCGATGGGCGGTCCCGAACTTGCTGCCAGGTGGGAAGCTCACTGACCAGCTGACCGAGTGGCAAAAGTCCCCGCTGGTCTCGGCTACGTTCGGTGTCGGCGATCGGATGAGCGAGGGCATAATGAAGCAGAGCGGCGCCTACGGCTGGAATTATTTAATCGCTTCGCTCATTCCGCCGGCCCATAATGCGTAATCGCTGGGATTTGGCTGCGCGTCCGTGAGCCATGCTGCGCTGATGGGGGGGGACGTTGTTTTCGGTGGTGGGTGCACCAGTCCGGTGTAGTTGGTTCGACGTTTGCGGCTGTCAGTGGTTTGTGGCGCCATCGTCTGCTCTCATGGGGCTCGTGGATGGTGGTTTGGCGCGGTCCGCCAATGGAGCCCCGCTTTCTGGAGGTTCCAGGGTTCGGTCGGGCTTTGCCTGCGGTTGCCTCGGCTTGTTTAGGGGTGCTCTGTTTGTGGTGCGAGGGTGTTGGAGTCAGTGGTCTCCGTACTTGGATGCATCGTTTGCAATTGTGGGTCCATTCGCATACGGTCATGCCTATGGTCGGGGAGGGGAGCTGAGAGAGAGCTCGACAGCTATACTTATTACATTTTGCTGTGCTTCCCTCCTGTGGAGGTCGGCGGTGTCACTTCGGCGGTTACATGCTGTCGCACCGCTGTCGGCCAGCCGAGTGGTCGTTTGCATTGCGGAACTCTGGGCGCGGGCATTTTTTTTCGGAGGCGTTGCGTTCGGCAGGATGGTGGGATTGGGGCAGCTCCCGTGGAGCAGCTTCAGGGCGATTCGCATGGAGTTCCTGCGGAGTTGTCGTGGGAAACGTTTGGTTTGCACGGGACCTCTAGGTGTTTGCCGTGTTGTGCGGCTTCTGGTGCTGTCGTGGGGGCGTTGCGTGCGAGATTGCTCACTCTGGGGCTTCCTGGGGGCCTCTTGGGGCCTGCTGGGGGCCTCCTGGGGCCTCTCGGGGGCCTCTTGGGGGCGTTGTGAGGTCTCCTGGGGACGTCTTGCGGCTTAGAGCGCGAAATGTTTGTTCCGGTCCCCCGTCGGGGCCCGGTCTTGGAGCCGTCTTGGAGGCATCTTGGGGCATCTTGGAGGTTTCTGGGGGTCTCTTAGGGCTCTCTGGGGTCGTTTCGGAACGGTCTTGAACCCTCGTAGGCCGTATTGGGGCGATATTGAGGGCTTTGTGGGCCGTCTTAAAGCGCTAGTAAGCCGAAGAGGCGAGAACGCCCAAATCTTCAAAAAAGCATGGGAAATCATCAATTTTGGCTTGTTGGGGGCCTCTTGGGAGGTCTCTTGGACGCATCTTGGGGCGTCTTGGGAGCATCTTGGGCCGTCTTGAGGCCTCTTGGGGGCGTTATGAGGTATCCTGGGGACGTCTTGCGGCTTAGAGCGCGAAGTGTCCGTTCCGGTCCCCCGTCGGGGCCCGGTCTTGGAGCCGTCTTGGGGGCATCTTGGGCCATCTTGGAGGTTTCTGGGGGTATCTTAGGGCCCTCTGGGGTCGTTTCGGAACGGTCTTGAACCCTCGTAGGCCGTATTGGGGCGACATTGAGGGCTTTTTTGGGCCGTCTTAAAGCGCTAGTAAGCCGAAGAGGCGAGAACGCCCAACTCCTCAAAAAAACATGGAAAATCATCAATTTTGGCTTGAGGTCTCTTGGACGCATCTTGGGGCGTCTTGGGAGCATCTTGGGCCGTCTTGAGGCCTCTTGGGGGCGTTCGTCTTGCGGCTTAGAGCGCGAAGTGTCCGTTCCGGTACCCCGTCGGGGTCCGGTCTTGGAGCCGTCTTGGGGGCATCTTGGGCCATCTTGGAGGTTTCTGGGGGTATCTTAGGGCCTCTGGGGTCGTTTCGGAACGGTCTTGAACCCTCGTAGGCCGTATGGGGGCGATCTTGGGGGCTTTTTGGGCCGTCTTGGAGCGCTAGGAAGCCGAAGAGGCGAGAACGCCAAAATCCTCAAAAAAGCAATGACAATCCGAAATTTTGGCTTCTTGGGGGCCTCTTGGGAGGTCTCTTGGACGCATCTTGGGGCGTCTTGGGAGCATTTTGGGCCGTCTTGAGGCCATCTGGGCCGTCTTGGGGCGCTCTTGGCTTCAGGCTGCTGGGCCTGCCACATATTTGGCGTCTCCTTGGGGCGCTCCTGGAGCGCTCCAGAGGCCTCCAGGGCCGCGCCCAGGAAGTCCGGCATCTCTGGCCCCCACCCTCCCGGGGACCTGCCGGGGTACTTTTCGCCCGGGACTCCTAGGGGCCGCCCCGCGCGCGCGAATTAGAAATATTGTTTACCTGTTGCCGGAGATCTTAGCACGCCCTGGCCCGTTGGGCAGGCGACTTTTGGCGCCACCTACTACAATTCTTCAGAGGTCGGCTGGTGCGGCTTTTTCGGCTCATGTCTGCGCGTCTCGTACGCGCAGGATCTTGCATTCGTTATGATGCAGCGGGATGTGTTGGACGTAAAAGGCTCGAAGAGGTTCGTGACAGAGCATTTCGATGCCATGGCTCGAAGTCTCCAGTGCCCGGGCAGTTACTGCCAGCCCGGCGTTGCGTCGACATATTGCGCGAGGTTGCAGCCGAAGGCACATTGGGTCGTCAGCGGCTGGGCCCCGAAATGCCCCTCTGAGGTCAAGCTTGGCTTCTTTGTGCACATCACCATTCCAAAGGACCACCGTGTCTGCTACACGCCGCGCTGCCCCACGGAACGCTGCCTCCGGCGGGTCGAGGGAGACCCTGGAAGCGCGGCCTGCGAACCGGGCGTCTGCCTGGCGGAGGACGAGCGTTGCGAGCCGACAGCGGCTTGCCGCCAGGACACCGGAGGCACCTGCGAGCTGCTCGGCTGCAGGCGGGGAACAAACAGCGACATGAACATGAGTTTTCGGAGGTCCGCGTGGATTTCTAGGATCGGTGACGGGCCTCCCCTGGCGGCGCCGCCCCTGGCGCGCTCCGCACGCTTGGGAGGGGGGGTTCAGCGGCTGATCCGAGAAATCCGCGCGGACCTCCGAACGTTTATGTTTAAGGACTCAGGATTTCGCAATAAAAACGGGGTGGTCTGATTCGGGAGGGGGTCTGATTCGAGCTGCCTCGGGCGATTCTGGGGGGTCTGGCCGCCCTTTCATGGCTGGTCTGGGGATGGGGGGTCTAAAATGGCTCGTCTGGAAGGTTTGTGACCCCCATATAGATATGTATTCGCCGGCCCAACGGGCCAGAGGCGTGCTAAGATCTCCGGTAACTGCTCAACAATATTTCTAGTTCGCGCGACGAAAAGTACCCCGGCAAGGTCCCGGCAAGGTCCCGGCAAGGTCCCGGCAAGGTCCCGGCAAGGTCCAGGCAAGGTTCCGGCAAGGTCCCGGCAAGGTTCCGGCAAGGTCCCGGCAAGGTCCCTTTTCGGAGCCCAGGAGGGCTCCAGACGGTCCAAGAGGGGCTCGAGAAGCCCTCCAGACGGTCCAAGAGAGCCGGGAGACGCCGAAATATCACTCCCAAACGCCTGCGATGGCCTCAAGACGGCCCAACAGGCCTTCAAGACGCCCCAAGAGGTCCCTAAGCGGCGCCCCAAGAGGGCTCCCACAAGCAAAAATCGCCCCATTCCCTTCGGAAAACGTCCATTTTTAACATATCCGCCTCTTCGTCTTTCACACCTTTCGAGGCGGTCCAAGAGGCCCCCAAGATCACCCCAAGACGGCCCGAGAGACCCTCTAGACCGCTCAAAGACGGCCCAAGAGCGCTCCAAGAAGGCCCAAGAAACCCTCAAGAACTCTTTTTTTCGGAGCCCAGGAGGGCTCCAAATCGGTCCAAGAGGGGCCCGAGAAGCCCTCCAGACGGTCCAAGAGAGCCGGGAGACGCCGAAATATCACCCCCAAGCGCCTACGATGGCCTCAAGACGGCCCAACAGGCCTTCAAGACGCCCCAAGAGGTCCCTAAGCGGCGTCCCAAGAGGGCTCCCACAAGCAAAAATCGTCTCATTCCCTTAGGAAAGCGTGCATTTTTAACATATCCGCCTCTTCGTCTTTCACACCTTTCAAGGCGGTCCAAGAGGCCCCCAAGATCACCCCAAGACGGCCCGAGAGACCCTCTAGACCGCTCAAAGACGGCCCAAGAGCGCTCCAAGAAGGCCCAAGAAACCCTCAAGACGGTCCAAGAGGCCCCAAGACGGCCCCATGATTGAGGTCCACAGGGGCAACCTGAACGGAAATTTTGAGCCTCCCGCCCAAACACGCCCCCGAAATGCCCCTACAAGCCCCCAAGTAGCCCCACGAAGCCCCCAAGAGAGCCCCAAGAGGCCCCTAACAGGCCGCAAGAAAGCCCCAAGAGGCCCCCAAGAGATCCCCAGGAAGCTCCTAGGAGGTCCCCAAGAGGCCAGGCAGACCCCCCCAAGAGACCACCAAGAGGGCCCACCCAGAGCCATCCACGAGGCCTCCCAAAGTTCCCAAGAAGCTCCCACGAAGCTTCCAAGGGCTCCCAAGATCCCCCAAGACCCCGCGATGGCACAATACGGGCCGGCGGAATGAGCGAAGCGATTCTATATCTATACATGTATGTATACATACATATATATATATATACATATATATATATGAATAGATATGTATGGCAATGCGTGCGTGTGACCCGTGTCTGAGAGTTTCTATTGGGAAGGGGGCCGCGCGTCTCGACGCCCGCAACCGATTGTGCTCAAGCAGTAACCGGTGGTGCCAGGCACCGGGCGACAGCATCCCCCACCCGCAAGGTATGGCCCTTCCCCGCGCGCTATGCTGATTGGGTGATTGGCACGATGTCGCAGACACTGGTGGGTTGGTCCACGCGGTGCTCAGCGTGCCCTGCTTGCCCCCAGCCGCCGGCGTGCCCCGCCTGCCCGCACGGCCTTTCGGTGCACATTCACCCGCCCGCGGCTTGCCCCGCGGCCCCTGTGGCGGCTGCTTCGCCGCCGGCCGCGAACGCGGAACCCGCGGAGAGCTCGCCGGGCGACTGGCACGCCAGCTGGCTCGCGCTGCTGCTCTGGGCGTCAACCTCGTGCTGTTCGCCTCGCAGGTGCTGAGGATCGGGACGGCCATCCTGGCCCGCTTCCTGGTCCATCGGCCTCGCGCTGTGCTCCACGATTTCGGTGGTACTGGCGCCGCTGGGGCTCCGACAGTGGGCGTGGGCACAGTGCGCCAGCGCGCCGCGGTGAATCAGCGGCGCGTGTGGGGCTGGGTGATTCAGCATCCGATTGATCCGCCTTGGTCAGCGCTGCGGGTGGTGATCTCGACGCCTGACGGCGACATCTACGAGGAGCTCTACAACCTTTCTGACGGGTGGCTATCGGCGGTAAGGTTCGAAAACGATCGTCGGGCGCGTCCTGCGGGCCTGGGCGCCGCCAACCAGTACCGCTTCCGTCGGGCTCTGACGCCCGCCGAGGAGGGCGCGATCCAGAACGAGCTGGAGGCCCACGCGCGGGACGTGTACCTGGCGAACGAGCGGGCGGCCGGGCGGCCTCCCGCAGTGCCGCCCGCAGGGGCCTTCGAGTACTTCTCGTTCGCGGTGCCTGCTGCTGGCGACGGCCCTCCCGCGCCCGCCGCTGCTGGCGCGCCTGCGGCGCCCCCAGCTCCGCCGGTGGCGGCGGCACTCGCCGTGGCGGCCGCACCCGCGCCCGCTGGGCCCGTGGTGCCCGCCGCGGCTGCGCCTGCTGCTCCCGCCGCGGCCCCGCTGGCCGGGGCCCTCCCGCTGGTCGGAGTGCTGGGACCTAGCGCGATCCCTGGGCCTGGAGGGCAGTGGGTCTACGTCGAGACGACCACCACGGCGCGGCGCGGAGAGCCCGCTACGTTGAACGGCTCGGAGTCGGTGCGCGGCGATATCGGCTTGAAGGGAGCACATGATGGCAGCTGGTCGGCTATCGGGAGGTTCGCGACATCGTAGGCCTCGTGCCGAGGGGCCGAGGCGGCGTCGGATGCTTGCCTCCAGCCCGTGGCGCTGCTTGCCGGCGGCTGACGTCAACGGGGGCTGTTCCACGAGAGTGTAGATCGGCTCAGGGAGGAGCCGTTCCCCGACTAGCCTCTTGACGGTCCCCGCACGACGATGTGGTGCCTGCGCTTTTTGGATCGCAAGCGTGGGGGGGCCATCGAGCACTTCCATCAGTTCTTGTCGAATTACAGGCTCGCCCGTGAGGACTTTAGCATATCGCACTATGAGTCGATCGTGTGCGTGGTCGACTACCTGATGACCTGGGACCTCCTAGGCCCGCCGAACGTGGTCGGTGTCGAGGTCGAATGCTGCGGCAGGCATAGCTGCGCAAGTACATGTCGGCCATGGAGTGCGAAGCGCGCGACGCTGGCGGCCCAGCCACGCCCCCGGCCGACGCCGAGCCCAAGGCAAAGGCAAGGGGCCTGGGGCAAGGGCAAGCCGCGAGGCGGCGGAGGCGTCTTGAAGTTCGGGTTCGTCGACGAGGTCGGTGTCTTCACCGGCGCTGCTCGGGAGGGCGGCCGCGTGATGGTCGCGCCGGTTCTGCTGGGGCGCGTGGCCGCGCGAGTGGAGCGCGACGCTGGGGTCCTCGTGCAAATCAGAAAGGCTAAAGAGGAGCGTCGCGCTCTGGCGCCATGATGGGTTGGACCTCCGAGGCGGCGACCCCGCCCGCCTCCAGGGGCGTCCGCGGGGCCGCTGCGGACTCGCCCCACCGCTGTGCGAATGTACGTGGGGCCAGCGCTTGTCCTCAGCGACGG